TGAACTCTTAGTCTTATTATAATCCATCTCCAAAGTTGCACACCATGTGCATATTAAACATTTTCCAACTTTGAATCAGTCACAGAAAAAAAAAGGTCAGTCTCCCTCCCAAATATCTGTCTAAATTATGACTGATATACACATATACTGCCCAGTATAGGCTACTGCTTATTAATGATCATAGTCATCACATTCTAAGCTTGAAAATCCCTCTCTGAGGTTCACTCACAGTGTGTTGAGGTCAGGATTGCAGGAGAACATAGGCATGTGGTGGCGCTGGGCGCAGGCAGGGCGGGGCTGAGGTGGCGTGTAGAAGAGTAAACAGATGCCAAGACAAATACAAGAAAACTCCAGGCAACGGCACAACCCTTGGCAGTCTGCTCAGCCTGGCACAAACACACATAAACATGTAGACTTTAGACAAACACACTGTTTGCACATAGTGTAGGCAGCACTTCAAACAACGGGTGTTCCTGCTCCCACTCGGTACACTCAACCAGAGAATTAAGAAAATCTGTCAACAGAAGCAGGGTTTCAGCCATAGTCACATGAGAAGCTCCCGAACAGACAACACTTTTGTCCTTTCTTTTGCTATGTAACAGTAGGAGCTTTAACGTAGCAGGTGCACACAAGTACAAAAACTCAGCTCTTGCAACACTGCATGATTACCTCGAACACACAGGCACACACATGATAAGGGCAGGGTTGCTTAGTTAAGGGTTATGTACTTTTAAAAGAAATCCAGAGAATTAAAGAATGAGAATTAAAGAAATCATCATCTATAAGCTGCATCAAGCTGGTTATGGTGGTCTCCAGGGTGTGGCTGCATATTGAGCTGATCAGCTTCATTACAGCGCAGGGCGGCTCCAGCTTCTGGATGTTATGTAAAGAACTTGACTCTCTTTGTTGTTGTTTCAGGGAAATCTCCATTCAGCAGAGTGCTGTATGTCTGAAATGCACCATTAATCATAATCCTAAGTTAATAACAAAGACATTTTGTTTTTGCTTGTAGCCAAAGTCTGTTTTCTTGCCCTTTATAAAGAGATGACAGGGCCGGTTTAGGTTTAGTTGCTTTTCACACATAAATCAATCACAGCATGAGAAAACACTAGGAATGTCCTGATTTAGTTTTTTTTTTTGGCCCAGATGCCAATCAGATTCCCTTAATATTAAGCACCTGCTGATACCCGTCTGATACTTATATTTACCTGCAGTACATGATCATTAAATATCTGACATACTGAAATTGAAATGAATCCAAGTGAGACTGAAATTAATCTGGCACACTGTATTTTTTCAGGAGCTTCTTGATCCAAATGCTGGATCAGGGCCTGGCTTCAAATTATTAAGTGTATTAGCTGAAAATATTGATATGAATAGAAGAATAACTGGGAGCTGGACAACACATTCTCAGAACTCCAGGTTTATTACACTGCATACTGTATCTGTATGTGAACACAGTTTGTGTAGTCCAAGTTAGATCTCCCTGTTGGACATTTTAATAATACTGCATTAACAAAAGGTGGCAGCTGGATTGATTGATATAGGAGTTTATTGGTTGCGTGATGTACCTCTCAAAAACTTGACCGAGTTCACCCACATACAGAATTGTAAGGACTGGAACTGGATCAGCTTTATTCTGGCTGATACCAATCCTGTGAAACATCCCCAGATTGGCACAGATACGGATACTTAGTTCCGGATCGGCTGCCTGGTGAGTGGAAGCCCAGTATTAACTCTCTTTTAGCTTAATTATCAGGCTCTGTAGCAGCTAGATAAAAGCTCTATCATGTACACCAGCTCGTTGCCATCTTTGTCTGTCTGCTGTTTGTTGCTGAGCAGGTAACTAGTGGTGCCGATAACAGCCTCTACATCTGAAAACAATGCTGATGAGAAATGTGAGCGTGAACCAAAAGTTCCAGGCAATAAAACAAAAACAATGAAGCACACTTAGAGAAACTGCGCTCAGGTGTTAACATTCCATGGGTTGCCCGCCAACGCTCACGTTATATGTAGTCATTTAGTCCATTTTTAATGCAGCAATATAGCCTGTGTGAATGTTATCTCTTTGGTGTTTTGTTTAAAAGTACATTTGTCACAAGCTGGTGGATTTGTCTGTTTGTGTACAGAGAAATATTAAACACACACAAGTACCTGTAACGGCCTACATCATAGTTATTTTTGTTAGTTATGAAAACAAAACAAAGAGACACAATCTGGAAAAACCAGAGCATTTGGCAAACAGAGATCACATATACAGTACATGGAAACCAACAAGTATTTTTTGTAAATTTAAAACAAAAAAAATTCAATTGTGGTGTTTTTGGCTGTGGTTCTGCTGTTGGTGCTTTTTCTGTTGTGTAAACACATACATGCATGCTAACAGCAACTTGCCTCAACATGCTTCTTTCTTCACCCTCCTGAAGAGTCCCTGGAAACAAATGCATGTTTGAAATGCTGTGTACAGTATATTTCCATATGCTTGAAACCTTATATGTTGCCTACAGCATTCAAATTGACTGGCATGTTTAGACAAGACAGTTGTACAATTTACACCATCTTTAACAGCCTTGACAACTGACACGTGTGAGTACATACATTACTGTGTGGACATACAAAAAAAAAAAAAAAAAAAAATCCTTCAGATGTGCTGGAAGGATATGAAATGTATTTTAAAGTACAGAATAAAACAAAAACGTGCAAGAGTCAGGAGTAAAAGCAAAAATATCTTTATAGTGTAAATCAACACGTGTAGCAATCACTGGAGTGCACAAGCACAGTAACACATTCAAACACTCACATACAAACACACTAGGGCTGAAGGAACTCTGTGTGTTGAATACAGTAACTGATTTATAGCAGACACACAGTCTCAACAGCAGAGGTGTCCTGCTTGACGGTGTACACACAGGTTTGTTTCACGGCCATTTAAAGCCATTGACCAGGCTTTCAAAAACAGGCTGTACTTCCCCTCACTACTGTTTTCAAATTTTCAGCTGAAACTGCATCTACAGTACTTTCCTTTCTACACAGATAAAACAAAGGTGAAAGAAAAAAAACAGGAAGTGAAATGGACTGGATTTATTGTGTTAATCTTCCCGTAAGCAACTGCGAGTAAATGAAGTTGAAAACGTACAGGATAAGGAAAACAAAGCATGTGAAGGCTAGAGAAGTAGAGGAGGACTCAAATAGTTCACCTCTGACTCCTGACTGAGCACCACCATCCACGATCTAACGTCGCTATATTTACAGTCAAACTTTGTCCGGGCCTTCATCTCATTTTCCTGTCACACTTTTTTGTTATTTTTTTGTTGTATTACCTTTTGTGAGTAAAAGGTGATACTTGCATGTTCTGACTCTTTTTGTTCTAGCTTGTTTTACGTTAAAGGATTTTGATATTCTTTGGCTACTTTAGCCTCATTGCATCGTTCACAGTTCAACAAACCTCTCTCGCAGGAGCATAAAACACGAGTGACAGCACTCACTGACATTCTAAGACACAAACACACAAGTACAGGTGCAAATGTAACGGTTTTGTTTTTACAGTAGAGCCCCAGAGGAACAGTGCTATATATGGGGATTGTTGATCAAATCACATGTTCATTCATATCTGGCAGAGAGCAGGAAGAGGACCATTCATATTGTTTTCAAATAATACTCAAGGGTGCCATCAGTCCATCCCCGTTTTGGTTGCATTTCCATTCGGATCCTTTGTTTTAGGATCAACTTCCTCAGTCTCTTTTCAATGAAATATTCTGGAGCTGGGAACAGGACAAAGGTCAAGGCAGAGAGTCACCTTTCTTCCTAGTTCTTCCACAGTGAGCTCCTCCTCTGGTGGGCCTTACTTTATAGAGAATTAGGTGAGATTACAAAGGGTGATGACAGGAGTCTTCAGTCCTGTTCCCCTGCTCCTCTGCTGTGACTGTGCATCTTTCATCTGGCGGAGGGGGTGTGTGCCCATCAGGGGAGGCGTGTATGCCGAGGCTGCTGAGGATGTCCTGGAGGCGTGTGACAGTGTTCAGCAGATGCTTCTTCTCCTCCTCCAGCGCAGCAACCTCCTCCTTCAGCTGGCCCTCCGATTGGACCAAAGCCTCCACTCGGTTCTCCAGGCTGCACACACGAGCGTGGGACACCTGGTGGGGGAAGGCACCAAATGAAGGTTAAACTGGATGAAGCAATAGAGACAGCAACTTGTGCTTATGTGTGATGCATGTGTGCGCACCTGTAGCTCCTCAAGTAGGTCGAGGTTCTGCTGTCGGAGGCTCTGATTGGTCCTCTCCAGCTGTGCAGCTCGCTGGTGCTGGTTAAGGGTCGGGGGGGTGTCCAGCAGTTCATCCTGCAAGACATGGTACTCCACCTCATAGGCCTGGAGCTGCTTGGACACGTCCATCTCACAAACCTACCACACATGAAAGTGTATACCGTGTGTATTAACATTCTAAAAATCCAGAAACTGATTCAGTTCAGTAAAACAAAACTTTTTTAATGGCAGAACCTGAATACGCACATTCAGAGATACACAAGGAAAATACATAGACTATTTCCATTTATTAGGACTTTTATTTTTGTAGTTTTGACCATCATCAACTGTATCAGACAAAGTAACTGCAGAGGAGTCTGGAAATATGACACATACAGTACGTAAGACAGATGGGGCAAAACACATTTACTTTATCCAGATTCAAACATGAGGACAATAATTAATGGGCCTTTATTTGCATGACTGACACCAACGCATTTTGACTGACTGACCACACCCTGACAACACCCATGCACCGCAGTGTAATTATACTCAGGAAACAAACTGCCTTGAATTTTTCCTTCCATTTGTTGCAGCCGTTCAAATAGCTAAATGTGATTTATACCTTTTGTTTATAAAAAAAAACCAAATTTTTTTCAGTTTCTCCAGTTGCCCATTACATTTGATAATAAAGCTTATTTTTGGAATTGTATTGTAATAATGGCGTAAAAATGTTTGGCTAACCTGTTGATTTGTTTGAAACCTTTAAGATCCTTTGACTGTTTCTTTCCTTGTCCCACTTCTTTACAGCTTTGTCGTTCATTCTCCCTTTTCAGCAAGTTACCGAGTACAGTGTTATCATCACTGATACAATAGGAACAACCAAAACTGGGAACAAAAGGTTATATGAAACTGGAAACTCCCTTAAAATGTTTACTTGTCATGTGACAAATTACCCAAAATTAAGTAGTTGTAAATACTAAATCTATATTTCTGCTTAAATGAAAACAAACAGTGGAGAGATGTTTAGCACCAAAGGCTTCGCACATCCTGTCAGTGCACTCCCTGTTTTTTGTTGTTGGGGTTTTTTTTTTTTTGTGGTGAAAGTGAGTCACACCATACTTGCCATACATTATAGATGACCTGTTGCGGATAAGTGGCACTGCAGGGAGAAAGTACCGGCAAGCTCGAGCACGACTCAACACCATTTTGCCATCTTGTCCAAAGTAAATGCATACTTTCTAAACTATAGCATAGCCTGATAGCATCTCTCAGCTGCTCCCATCTCCCCTGACAAGTACACCTACATTAATGGTAAATGTCTCGACATCAGTTGACAACTCATTAAAAGAACATCCCACGAGGAAGTCTGATAATGACTCTGCTGGTTATTGACGTCATTTGACATGCGAGCCTGATGTAATTGACATACTGTGGTTTTCTCTTTCTTTGTTTTCGAACCACACATACTGACCTATCAGGTGCAGGTTAAATGAACACTCCACCCATCGGCTCCTCTCATCTGTTATACGTAAGGCGTGTTTCACACCAACTTCTGTCACTCAAGCAGGATGTCATTCTCCATTTTCTAGTTTAGTCAAAAAGCAACAACAACAAAGAGAGACTACTTGTCTCTTCTTCTCTGTTGTAAAATCAGTTCATGTGATAAAATATCTGTTTAGTTTATTTTCAGTGACACAAACATCTTAAGTAACATCAGACAATCTTCAAAGTTTTAAACTATAAAGCTTGAGAAGCCATTTATATTAAAAATCGCACTTATGTTGTTCTGAATCCTAACTAAACACACAATGCACATATTTTTAGATCAAAATAACTTACATTTACTTAGGATATTGTTGTTGATGTCCAGTGCAAACATGTCCAAAAATATGTTAAGAAATCACAGAATAAAAGCAGCAGAACTTGCCTGGGAATTGTCACTTTTTAAAGTTTTCTTCAGTATCAAATTAACCCAGTGAGAGTTGTCTGTGCATTCAGGAATACGTTGCAAAGAGGAAGTGTAATAGTGCATTCAATGATGCCAGTCTGGCTCAAGTTGTATCTCACAGAAAACCATCCCTGGGCTACATCTGACCATCTCACCCCATGGCAACATTATCCTTCCTGTTTTCATCCCCTGAATGTTGTTTCAATTTTGTCTGAGGGCAGGGGCCCACAGTATTTGAAACAAATGAAACAACTGACCAGGAGGTCCAGTTTATTCCTCCGGAGGAGTTCTCCTCAGACCATACATAATAAAGATTTGCAAGGTCTGACAAAGTAACCCTGACGATGTTTTATGGGTACCTTGCCTTGGGCATGAGAACTTAACATTTTAGAGTTGAACACAAAGCCTGCGTTATCAAGACTATGTGTGGGGTTTAAAAATGACCCAGTTGGGTTCTGAAGATTCTGGATCTATAGTTTCTGGAACTTTAACCATTTCTGAGAACAAAAGTCAGGATATTTCAGTTTGTGCTGCTTTCATATTAATCTTTTTCTTTTTTTTAATCTGTCTCTTGTGAGTCTCATAACTTAACATAACATAACTAAGCTGCTCCTTTAACCTCTGGCTGAAATAGTGCAATAGCCCCTAATTTGTTGACAATAAGGAAAAGATCAAATTTATCCATTAGCAATGACTACATTATAATAAGCAGCCAGTATCTGTATTTACTGGCTTTGCCAGAAGATTCCAAATAAAATGAAAGGCATTTCGGAATAGAATAGTAGTACATCTAAATTCAATTCTTTTTCTAACCTGGTTGATGGTTTTCTCCATCTGCACCAGGCCCAGGTTGGGAAGTGTGGTCTTGATGAAGTCCACTATGGACTCCAGGTTGTCATGCTGCAGGATCAGAGGCTTGTGGCTCCCCAGCAGGCTCAGGGCCACCTTGAAGATGACTTCTGACCCCTGCAGGAACAACATATCTGACAGAGGACAAAAAAAGAGTCAAAGATAATAGAAGATGAGAGAGAGAAAAAAAAGATAAAGGAGGTTAAACAAAGGCCCTTTTGCGGTAGGTAGGTAGATTTTTTTTTAATTTTTGCAATGTAAAAATAATAGTGACAGGTGTTTTCTGTACAGCTTACTGTGTTGATTGTTGAATTAAAGGGCTTTTGAAAGATTCAGATAAAGATACAGATACTTTGATGTCAAGGAAAGGTTTAAGCAAACAGAAATATAGGCCAGGGAAGTCAGAAGAGGTGTGTGTGTATCTGTAATAACTGAATACATGAGGGCGGGGTGAGGGTTAGGCAGGATTACATGAGATCATACAACAGATTAAAGGAATGGGAGCTTTAAGCTGCACATATGATATCAAACACTTAATAGTGCTGTGATGATGCCCCCCAATGTATTGGAGAGCACTGAGATAAGCACAAGCTCCCTCCACAGATTTTCTATGGGATTAAGGTCTGGAGACTGACTAGGGCCACTCCATGACCTTAATATGCTTCTTCTTGAGCCAATCCTTTGTTGCCTTGGCCGTGTGTTTTGGATCATTGTCATGCTGGAATACCCAACCATGACCCATTTTCAATGCCGTGACTGAGGGAAGGAGGTTCTCACCTAAGATTTGATGGTACACGGCCCCATCCATCCTCCTTTTGATGCGGTGCAATTGTCCTGTCCCCTTGGCAGAAAAACACCCCCAAAGCATAATGTTTCCACCTCCATATTTGACGGTGGGGACAAACACGGCGTGTTGAGTTAATGCCAAAGAGCTCGATTTTGGTCTCATCTGACCACAACACTTTCACCCAGTCTTCCTCTGATTCAGTCAGATGTTCAGTGGCAAACTTCAAATGGGCCTGTAGATGTGCTTTCTTGAGCAGGGGGACCTTGCGGGCACAGCAGGATTCCAGTCCTTCACGGCGTAGTGTGTTGCCAACTGTTTTTTTGGTGACTATGGTCCCAGCTGCCTTGAGATCATTGACAAGTTCCTCCCGAGTAGTTCTGGGCTGATTCCTCACCGTTCTCATTATCATTGAAACTCCACGAGGTGAGATCTTGCATGGAGCTCCAGACCGAGGGAGACTGGCAGTTAACTTACTGTATGTTTCTTCCATTTGCAAATAATAGCACCAACTGTTGTCACCTTCTCACCCAGCTGCTTGGCGATGGTCTTGTAGCCCATTCCAGCCTTGTGTAGGGCCACAATCTTGTCCCTGACATCCTTGGAAAGCTCTTTGGTCTTGGCCATGGTGAAAAGTTTGGAATCCTGTATTGATTGATTGCTTCTGTGGACAGGTCTCTTTTATACAGGTAACGAGCTGAGAGGGCTCCCAATGTCAGCTCGTTACCTGTATAAAATACACCTGGGAGCCAGAGATCTTGCTGACTGATAGGGGATCAAATACTTATTTCATTCATGAAAATGCAAATTAATGTACAACTTTTTTTGTAATGCATGTTTCTGGATTTTTTTTGTTATTGTTGTGTCTCTCACTGTTCAAATAAACCTACCATTGAAACTGAACACTCATCATTTCTTTGTTAGTGGGCAAACTTACAAAATCAGCTGGGGTTCAAATAATTTTTTCCCTGACTGTATAAGTAATCAAGTGTGAATACAACATTAAGGAAGGAATGAAGGAGAGAAAAGCACCGACATGAAAAAAAGACACATAACAAGGGACTGTGGATCAATGGAGAGATGAGGATGTGTCTAATTTATTGGACATTTATGAAGAAGCTTCTGATCAAACCAAACTGGAGGGAACTGGAATAAATGTGAACAGAAAAAGACTGAACTTTAGCATTAAGGCCTTTGATATGAACATACTGTAGCCCTAGAGCCCTTGTTCCAATGAAACTGCAATGTTTGCAGAAACATACTGATTGTCATCATAAATCTTTACAGTTTAATATATCCATTGTCTCTATCTTGCTGCTTAGCCAAGTCCATCACTGATGTCCTCCTGCCTTTCTTTACTCAGGGTTCAAAATTTAATTAAAAACATCAACTGGGGTGGAGATAACACAAACATCTCTGTGGAAGCCCCGTCATCCTGCTCCTTTCCTACAACTACAGTGCCAAGCTTTTCTTAGGAAGAAGAAACAATGTGGTGACCAAGAAAAACAATGTGTTCTGTGAGTCAAGATACATATGCAGCTCTCACGCCTTACCGAAGACTCGGGCCACGAAACCAAGAGGGAAGTGTGAAGCGAAGGCGGTGAGGAACCAAGGAGTGGCGTACAAACTGGGTCCAATCTCCTGCTGCTCTAGGTGACTGTAAAGATCTCTGTGGTAGTCGTGGAGCAGTCGCGACAGCTGGTACATCTGAATCTGCCACGAACAAAATACCAGAGATTGGCTTTTTTTTTTTTTTAAATAAGTGTAAATACAGTAACTGTGGGGAATATAATTTAAGCACAATACATTTTAATCCAGTAGCGTACATATTACAGTGGGTACGGAAAGTATTCAGACCCCCTTAAAATTTTCACTCTTTGTTATATTGCAGCCATATGCTAAAATCATTTAAGTTCATTTTTTTTCCTCATTAATGTACACACAGCACCCCATATTGACAGAAAAACACAGAATTTTTGACATTTTTGCAGATTTATTAAAAAAGAAAAACTGAAATATCACATGGTCATAAGTATTCAGACCCTTTGCTGTGACACTCATATATTTAACTTAGGTGCTGTCCATTTCTTCTGATCATCCCTGAGATGGTTCTACACCTTCATTTGAGTCCAACTGTGTTTGATTATACTGATTGGACGTGATTAGGAAAGCCACACACCTGTCTATATAAGACCCTACAGCTCACAGTGCA